TTCCTAAACATAGTATCCTTATCCTTAACTTGGAAAACAGGAAACTTATTCGATTCTCTATTCGCAAGAGCTAATCGATCCTCATTTGTCCAAGGTTTATCCCCATCTTCCGCTTCGCCATCTGCACCTCCATAATCAACCTTTCGCCGCTTTCGAGCGGGCTTTAAGGAGGCTCGAGTTATTGTCGCTGAACCAGGACATCGGAATGGTTTTACTAATTTGTCGACGGATTGAGGAGTTCCACCATATAATCGTCCTCTCTGTGTCGAAGGAGGAGCGTTCTCCTTATCTTCGCCCGATGTAATATGAAAAGGTTGTTTGAGCCGATCCTTTGATTGAGGAGTGCCTGCAAGTCCAATCGTCTTTTTTCCCGCGAGAGGAATTGGAGTTCGCGCCTCTGTTTGCGCGTCAACAGTATCGTTTTCACTCGGTGGCGTTATCATTGTGTCGTCGAGCAAACAGGCCCTATATCTTGAACACGCTACTATGACAATTCTAAACACCCAAAATCGTTCTTCTTTTAATCAACTTGTGGCCGGGGATCTGCAATTTGATGTTATCAAATATCTTCATGTGGCGTGGCAATGGAGAGAGAGGGTTGATGTTAAACGCGTCTAAACTTCGCGAAAGCACGTGACTGTACCTAAACACAGCACTGATACTGTTAGTTCCTTCCGTATCATCCTTTCGATTTTCATTTGCTGTGCTGAATCCACGACCATCTTGACTTCCGTTACAGGTTATCTTTGACAATTGCAAAATTACGTTTCATGAAAGCTCAACATTTATGATTACTTCCCGCATGGTCAAGGATATCACTAGTGTCCCTTCAACAGTCACCACTTATGCTTCTGCCTTGCCCCTTTCAAACCCTTTGCTTTTCTTTATCTAGCTTTGCATTCATTACCTTGAAAAGTTTCGTACTTATTCCGGAAGTACTTCAACTTGTATCCATCATGGATAGCTGTTTTGCTGTTTGAAAGTTTATCTCTGGTAGATATTGATGTAGGTGCATCCATCATTGAAGAGCAGCGGTTGAATGAGTACCATTAGTTGAAAGCCAGCACATGCCCGCATACCAATATCGTTCACAATCCAGTGTTTGAAGAATATCCTGGTCACCTTCACATTGTTTGCAGAATTCGTAGTTATGAGCCACGAAAGGCTTGAAATTACAATCGTAATCTTACGCGGCGGTTAGTGTGAGAGTACTTGAGTGCTCTGTGCAGCCGTTGATACCAATAATTTACAACTGTTATTAGGACAATTGATTAAATAACCTTACATTTTTTCAAGACAATGTAATCGTTTTTCTTGCAAATTGTGCATTGTCAAATCTATCAAAGTGAGCGACTCACCCAGAAACTGACCCGCTTCTTTCGTACGTTGCTCGAGCTTCTGCGCAATCTCTGTCTGAAGTCCAGACTTATTGTTCAAAACAAGCTTCCATTCTATATTTGAAGTATGGATCAATGCCCCAATAGCTGTTGTTACCATAAGACTATATAGATGTCTCTCCACGTTATCAAAGTCTTTGGCTAGAAGATCCAGCCTAGAAAAGCTATTCTATTTCAAGTTTTTATCTCACTTCACTTCTGTGATGCAGGGGCGCAACCCTCCATCAAAATTGACTTTCCATCAGGTTTCAGTAACTTTCGCGTATGCAAACTTGTTTCACACAAATTTGAAGTGGCATGGAGAACATTCGCCGCGATAATAACTATTGACGCAGCTTATTTTGATTCGACATGAGTTCTGGCCAGTCTGTAAACCCTCCATCTCTTCAATATCTTTGCTCATTTCTTGCTCAGAGACGCCACAGTGCCACGGCAAGAAGAAAGCTCCATACCCGCACGAGCAGAGATCGCTCTTATAGAGTACCTAATCAACAGTTAGCTTTTGTAGTAATGTCCACAGTAAGTACACTTATTTTGGAATGGGCTGCAAGTGAAGATACTGTAAGGGGGACGGGTTGAATCTACAGGTATGCCTGGTAAGCTGTAAAATGAGCGACAGCGTACAAAATAACGTGTATGATATCTGTAGGTGTATTTTATGGCTCCCACGGTCACATTATATTTGAATGGCACCTCTTCCGCGAACTCCCTTGGGGTTCAAATGTTGTGAAATTGTACTACAACTCAATGCAAGTTTTCAAATGATCGCCAATATGCGGTGCAACTTGGCTGCCACTCTCGAACCACGATTGCACCAAATAACTCGAGTTTCATGGTCATATAGTGGAAGGCGATGATACAATTTGTACGAAGCAAAGCCTATAAGATCTGCGAATAAAGTACTCGCTGGATCTGGAGCTCAGAACCGGTGTGCTAAATATGCAGCGGAAGTATAGTCAGTCCAAATCGAGAAGTCACATGGTTTCAGTCATTAACAGCCTGTAAAGGTGTACCATCCCATGACCTATGTACGTACTTCTTCTTTCCCCCTGTTTTCTATAATTTGTAGCAAAACCGTCCCCTGTGTGCCACATGCCTCTCGACTCCCCAAAGCCCTCAGCCACATGTCCCAGAGATCATCGATTCTCCTGACGATCCTCATGTCTGACTCTTCTACCAACATGAATCTTTTTTTGGGGGGGGGGGGGGGGGGGTTACAGTCTTTCTATGTCTTTTAGGGGTTTGAATCAATACTATAGTTTTTGTTTGAGGTTTGCAATATTTGACTGGGTTTGAACTTTGAACTGAGTCACCATAACTTCTCCGGACCGCCCTCTCTGTGCCACCGACAGGGTGTGATATGCCTGCCCCAAGAAGGAATCTTCTGTTTACTGTAGCATGGAATGCTTCTTGGCTGTCTATATTTGTATAGTGACATCGCCGAGCTAATGTTGGTCAAGGTTAGTTCCTCTTGAGATTAAACCTGGACGAGTGACGATGAAAATATGGAATTCATGTAATTACCATGCCTCATGTTGACGTTGCATACGGCTTTCAGATTTCCAAAGCAAGATTTTGAAACTCATAGGGGAGAAGGGGTTGGTTCCAAGCATTACTGTATTTATTACCTTATGTCCAAGATTTAGTGCGAAGTCATTCTAGGTATCTGTCGGTGTCGTCTAAATTTGTGGACCTCTCTGTGTGTGTCACTGTGTGAACACTGAAAAGAGCCCTGTCGACCCTCGTGATAGGGTTGCAATTCTTGTGAAGCAAGGACCTCCAGTTCCCAAATGGGACATAAGACGCCAGCCCCTGAATTGCTACCCTGTTCATTTTAATCTATTAGAATCATACATTATAGGAAGCTTAGCAGTATTCAGTTGATTGTCATTGTGTATCGAGTAGAGTCTCTTGGGTGGATACTCTAGCCATGCTCTATGGTACTGATGGATCCCTTGATTTCGGTTTGTTTGAATTGGGCCGGAAAAACATTATTCCGTTCCAGAAAGCTAAGGTTGATGCTTCGCCAAGAAATATACCCCGCCAACTTATATTCCCGATTCTTTCTCTGAACCTCTCGGGTCCCAGCAAAAACGAGCGAATGGATTCACATTATTAAGAGTCTAAATCAGTACTGGTGGATATCTTATTTTGAAGTACAAAGGCGTCTCTTTTGCTTAGCGCCAACTATCATAGCTAGCTTTCTATCATAGACAAAGCTGGAATTGAGCGAAGGAAACAGTACAGTTGTTTACTGTATATATAGTGAAGCAAGTCACACACGGCTTTCAAAGAAAGTGCTCATTGTTTCAGAGCGGGAACCAATCTACACCCTATTGGCTACTTACCGCCCAGATTTCAATCGACACAACATCCGTTGATCCGAGACATGATCCCACGATAAAGACAATTGCCAATACCCCTTTATCATCCGCACAGATCGGACAATGTCCGCTGATTTCTGGGCTGGTTACATTAGTGGTGCCATCAGTATTATAATCGGCAATCCTCTCGATCTTCTCAAGGTCCGTCTCCAAGCTTCAAGTTCGTCACGTGTCAATGGTCTTTCTCCGATTCTCGCCCTGCTCACTTCTACTTCGCCTACTACCGCTTTCCCAACCCTGAGCTCCCTTATACGTGGAACTGCCGCGCCTATTCTCTCAACCGGTGCTCTCAACGCCCTTCTTTTTGTAACCTATAACAGAACACTATCGTTCCTCCACCCTACTTACACCCCCAACAACCCGGAATCCGTACCCCTATTCTCGACCTTTCTTGCAGGTACTATTGGTGGTCTCTGCTCCTCTATTGTTTCTACCCCAACAGAATTGATAAAGTGTCGCGCTCAGCTCTCTAGCCCTCCTGTCTCTTCCCTGGCGATAGCTCGCTCTATTTTATCTACGACCGGTATTCGAGGTCTGTATTTCGGAGGTGTAGTTACCGCGTTGAGAGATAGTATAGGTTATGGGTTTTATTTTTGGAGCTATGAACTATCTTCGCGTCTCTACTCTTCTTATGTCCTCTCGTCATCGCCAGGAATGGAGGTTGCTACTACCAGTTCTAGGGACGGAGCAATTAAGATTCTCCTCTGCGGTGGCGTAGCAGGTGTGGTTACATGGGCTAGTGTTTTCCCACTTGACGTTGTGAAAACAAGACTACAAGCTCAAATTCTCTCTGCTACATTGGTTTCAGAAGCCACACCCCTTATTATCGGATCCCCACCATATAAGCCCAGAGGAGCCTTAGAAATAGCAAGACTAGCATATCGCAATGAAGGCATGGGCGTGTTTTTCAGGGGATTAGGTGTATGTAGCTTGAGGGCTTTCATTGTGAATGCAGCACAGTGGGCAGCATATGAGTGGATTATGAGGGAGCTGGGGGCCAAAGGTGGGATCGATACTGGCGTCAAGGATAGAGGCAAGAGTGAGATTCTGATTTAGAAGAGGATGATCTGGCTTAAAGTTTCTTTTAGAGATGAAACTTTTGTGGATGGTGTATACATAGAAGAAGAGGTAGGAGGTCGGACAAAGGCCATGGCAAAAAAAATAAAGATAGAATATTTGGATACATTCTATAGATTAGGATTGAGAACTAGGTGTATAAATTAAAACCAGGCAAGGTGCTCTTAAAGGTACAACATTCAAGATCGCGGTTAGCTCAGGTATATGAAATCCAGTCGAATTTCAAGACCAGCTTGTCTGTTATTTAGTAATTACTCAACGCTAACGTTTTGGCCAACACGAATTAATATGTATTCTGGATAAAGTTGACATTTACACGATACTAAACATTTAAGTGCTGAAACATTGACCACCGTTGGCGCTGACAACACTACCAGTCATCCATGCACTCTCTGGACTACAAACCATACCGACAACGCCAGCGATTTCTTCGACATATGCTGGACGACCACCCCATTTCTTACCAACTGCCTTGACTTCTTCGGTATCCCACTCACGTACACCTGACAATGGGATCAACGGACTCCATTGTGCTTGAGCTGCAAGCACATCATCGCTACATTGACGGAACATATCTGTGAGTACCGAACCAGGGTTGATAGTGTTGACGGTAGCATTCTCAGCCAATTCTCTTGACCAAGTTCTTGTCATAGCCTCAAGTGCACCCTTCGTTCCATTGTAAAGCGTCAAGTATGGGGTGCCGACCTTTTGTCCGATACTGGAGACGTTCACAATTCTTCCAGATCGATCTGTTGGTAGGTATGGCTTGCATGCTCCTGTAAGCAAAATAGGAGCTAGCACGTTGGTCTCGTACGACTTGATAAAATCCGCGTGCGTAACTGATTCGAGAGGACCAATGCCAATCATAATAGCAGCACAGTTGATCAAGATGTCAATTTGTAGCTTGTTGGTTTTGGCATTTGGAGGCATCTTTGAGTTACAGGCCTCAATGATGGCTGCACAGCCTTCAGGTGTAGAGATGTCAGATCGACATGGCACGGCAACAACTCCATGTTTCTTAGTAAGCTCTTCTGCGAGCTCAGCAGCAGAGCTGTCAGATCCTTCGGTTAGATAGCTGATTAGGATGTTGGCACCCTTAGATGCGAGGTTTCTAGCAATACCAGCACCAATGCCTGAAAACAAGGTTAGCTAGGACACTGGTAAACGAGTCATTTACTAATCATTACTTCGTGCTGAACCTGTCACAATCGCAACCTTGCCCTCATGCACTCGACCGGTGTTGTTGGAAGCCATATTGAATATTGGATCACTAAAAAATATCTTGGGTACTCAGAATCTAGTGCGGGCAAATCGTAAAACGTTAATTTTCCAGAGCAAGTGACGGGAGGAAGGAAAGAAGAGACTATCAACCCCCCACGTTTGCATACCAATGTATAGGACCCATACTATGGGTAACATGCCCATGACACATGACGGTGGAGCAAAAGATTAGTGAAGAGGCAATGAATGGCAAATTTAATCAATCCCACGCTGGATTCGTGAGATTTTGGGAATCGTCTCCGCCCGGGGAAGGAAAAGCCCAAAGCCTCCTGGGCAAAATCTCTCTTCACTGTGGGGTCATTGGAGGTGACTGTTGGAGTTTGATATATAAGATCTTGCATTGTACAGATGGTACACCGTACAGAGCATGTCAACCTGTCGATTAGCCGGGGTTTTGACCATTACGTCCACAAACTCTATCGAAAATAAACCTTTTCATCTGGAAACTATCTAGTCGGTAAGACTTAGAAAAATCCTCAGAAAAATTTAAGTTAAAATTCTGCAACGAAGCAGTTGCCAAGCCTATTAATCGAAATGAATACGTCGTCGTCATTAGCGAATCAACGATTGTGCCGCGGTTCTGTCATCTGGAACCTTCAGTTCATGTATAATATGAAAAATATACCTCTATTAAAGTTCGTTAGTGACAAACGGGTATTCTAAGGCTCATCTTAGAGTTTCAATACCCGGTAATATTGTAAAATCACAGGCCTAATCCATCAAAATCAGTCCACTAAGATCCCTACACTAGCCCAATTAGGAAGTTAGTTGTTTTACGACGACTGCTAAAAAGTGGAACGAGCCCTGTCAAATTTCTTAGAGCAGTTCTCTACAAGGCTTTTGGACATTCAGGATTGGTCAAGGTGTAGTCATTCCACTCCACCACGATCCGCTCCACTCATTTTGTAGTGGATAATGTGGGGCCAAATATGAAAGGGGCGGAAAGAGGGATCATTTAACTAAGTACTACCGACTGGAATCAAAATTTACGTGCTATGATAGAAAACGAAAACTCTGGAATCCCACGAAAAGGCTCGTCCTCTCGGAAGCAAGTGTACGAGTCCCAGATTCGGAATAAACGAGGAAGATCAGTGGATGGTGTATAGAATATCTTGTTTCCGGAACCCTGGGGAAGACGTCTATGCATCGGATCCCTGTTCATAATATAGACTTCCTCAGACTATAGTGTATGAAGAAATACATCATGTCGTTGTCTCCAGATATGATGATAGAATTCTTCACAAACACACATCGCGCTACTTTTTGAACCAGAATCAACTCGACGCGCAGATGGCTGACGTCGATGCTACAATACTTCCCCTCGAAGGTCTTCCTTTGGCAATCTTCGTAGTGTCTCTTGTCTGCCTTTGTATTTCGACGATTACTGTAGCAGTAAGGACATATGTCAGAATTAATGACAATGCATTCGGCTGGGACGATAAATTGATAGTCCTCGGACTGGTAAAGTCACTCTAGCTCTTCAATTCTCAACTTGAAACTAACTTTTGCTAGATCGTTTACATCGTCGATGTCGCTTTGGCTTGTCATGGTACTCGAGTTGGCCTTGGTTCACATAATAGCAGGCTAAATGCCTTCTTCTCAGTACAAGGCACAAAGTACCTCATGCTATGGATGATGCTATATGTTGTAGGTCTGGCAGTCATCAAAAGCTCGATTTGTGTGACTCTCTTGCGTATAGCTAGCGCGCACAAGATGTACCGGTTCTTCGTTTTGAGTTTGCTCGGCCTCACAATCGCTACATTCTTGGTGACTCTAATTGGAATTCTGCTTCTATGTAGACCTGTGTCTGCAAACTGGGATACGTCGTTGGTAACAGAAGGAAAAGGGACGTGTTCGGGCATGGGAACAATGATCGCATTGAGCTATACGTCGACAGCTTGTACCATTGTCACAGATTTGGCTTGCGCAGTATTCCCTGGTGTAATGCTGTATAGGACGCAGATGCCATTGGGAAGGAAGATACAAGTGGGCTTGCTTTTGTCATTCGCTTCTGTGTAAGACAATTCCTCAAATCATCATTACCTAAGCTTTCAGTGTAACTGACCAGATTTTTCAATTAGTGCTTCAATATCGACAATGATTCGAGCACCGTACATTGAACACTATCGCACTCCCACAGACAATCTGCTCTGTAAGTTATTCAGAAAAGTTCTTTAATGGCGATAATGCTTATAAATCTCCAGACTATACCGGTTTCATCGTTCTCCTATCCAACATAGAAACAGCCATTGGTTGTGTAGCAAGCTCGATCCCTACAGTCGGTCGCTTTTTCATGCGCAACAGCGCCGCAAAAAAATCAGCATCTGAACCAGATGGCCCAAAAGATCTTGTCACTTTTGGTAGCGCACCGATAAGTGCCCGGCACAATACCAAAGGTCGAGTCTTTCGCAATCCTACCGACACCGGTACGACATTCGCAACGGTGCACGCACACGGAGATGGAGATTGGAGTAGATTGCACGATGGAGATTCCGATCACAACCCGGACCTAGATACTCGCGAGGGAATTCGCGCAGATTATACTTATCAAGTAGAGCTGTCTAAGTCGCCGAAGCACAACCAGTCTGAATCTGTCAGGGAGTTGGCCCATGATGGATCTTCGTGTTAGACTAAGGGAAATTTCATCTCTCATTCTTCTATCTTGTTATTTATACCCGGGTCATCAAGGCGCATATGGCTGGGGATCTTTTGGTTGCAAAAAGTTAGACACTTACTGCATTGTATGATTAAAGAAATATTGACGGCTTTCATCATGTTAAAAGGATTTATCGTATCTGTTGCCATGTTTTCCTAAAATCTTCATAAATACACAAGTGGGGCTAGCCATACTCAAGATTAGCGAAAGGTTATAACTTATGGCAAATCCATTGACAAACCTTAAAACTGTGGACCATAGAGCAAGTGCTATTCGAGGGGCCATAAATTCATTCAAGTATAAGGTAACAAAATTAGATTGGCAGGTTTCCATCAGTGGCAAAACCTGTGTCTACCGATTAGTTTATGGAGCCTTACGGCATTGAAAATACTGTTGGCGATTCAATACAGAGTGGATATGTGGGTAGAGTTAAGCCTTACATTTAATCGCCGTGAAGAAATTGTTACCCGAAACAAGAATTGAAATAACACAAATACCAAAGAACCACCAGAGTTGATCCCACACCTTTGCTCTATAAGCTGGCCTTTTCATAAATCTTTTCGAAATGTGATATATAGATGGAGCACTCCGCCCATCTGACAAGCAACGTTCGGATCAACATTGAAAACCCCGCCATCTTATGTATCTTAAACCATCATTATTCACCATCCCGAACCTTTTTGTCAAATTCGGCCAGCTTTGTGCCAATTCGAATTCCTGCCGCGGCGACGGTGACCAGATGAGCATGGCCTGTGCGTGGATTCTCGCACGTGTAAGGATATAGAACCGGACCCTAATCGTCGGCCAGATAACGGCGTATGCTCTTTCTGCGTGGTGGAGAAAGGTGGGTCAACGATTGGGAGGATGATTGAGACGAGAGTGCATTTCTTCGACTACAAAAAAGGTGATGTCGGGTTACTATCTGGTAGGCAGAGGGATTCAGTATAGGAACTGAAAGTGAGGTAGGTGTATGTGCCCTAAAATACGATGCTGACGGGGAAAGGAAGCAGAATGGAGATGAGAAACCACTGAGAAATGCCCACGGAGGGCACTTATCTCGCAAAGAGGAAGAGTCGATACAACTTTGAGAGTGTAAAAATCCGAACGAGGTATGAGGAAGACGAAGATATGTGAAGCATGGCACATGAAATTCTACAGTATTTGAAAACTGAGAGGAATTCATAATCATAATCCGAAGAATGCTCGGCCACGCTTACGACCCATCCGTTCCCATACCGTGGTTGTAAAGGTACGTGGAAAAACTAAGGATAGTCTATATAGGCATAGGGGCCGATTTCGTCGGATTAAGAAGTATCAAAGAAAGGGTACCGGAATCTTGTAGAATACAATATGCAAGTCAGCTGCTGAAGCGCTCGTATATGGACCGAGCCTCGGGAAGCAAGTCGAACCGAATCTCGGGAGGTCCGCCGCTACCCATTTGCGTCCTCAATGAGTACACTTGCCTCGAGCATTTTGATCTTGAATGGGGAAATATGGTGAATATAAACGGTCTAGCGGTTCTATTGATGGAGCAACATGGCAAGACACAGTGGTAGATTAAATGAGGGTGTCGAGGAGCAAGGTACACTCTTTTCATAGCCTACACTGTCATTATGGCACTCCGTTTGGCCTGCGATATTTTTCTGCATGCATGAACTATACGGTGGACGGACGTACGAGCCAACGGAGTAGAGGTTGAATATGCAGCCAAGTATACAATGGGTTGTTTGCATTATAAATACACTCAATCTAATCTGATCTCCAAGCAAGATGCTGTTGGCTGACATAGTTTATTGAAAATGTGGTGTCAAACCGGACAGCCTCGTCATATCTTGAGCCAGGTGACGATCAGTGACAAAGTAATGAAAGGCCCAATATTCGGAAGATGGGGTATAAGCCTGTGGATCAGTAATTAACACTTCTGCAGGTGCAAACCCCTTTGACATGCAGTAGTTGTTTTGTCGAAGCTTGGAGTTTCACCTCAAGTTGGTGCAACGGCGGGCTAATGAAATCTCTAGTCGTACTTATACTGTTTCTTTCAAGCTTTCAAACGTCCGTCGTCAACCATTAGATCGTCATCCTGCAAATACCAGAAAATACAAACCATCCATCCCTTCGATTTGAGAATCCATTCCACACAGAGAGATGTTAGAAAGGCGAACAGGCGATATAATTTGAATTCGCTTACATAGTCAAACCGATTTGTATCGCTTTGCTCATCGCGTATTGATTGTAGTACATAATGGGATGCCGGCATTGTCGTTTAACTAATCGTGAACAAGTCATCAAAAAAGACTAAATGTAAGGCACAAGGTGAAAAAAGTCATAGTCTGGGTTTCAAACAGTCATGTAACATTCAAAAGTGTAGAAGTCATCTTGCTACAACTATCAAAGGTATTGTAGTCTGATAATCTACCACATCGCGACTGGGAGGAATATATATAAATCTCTATGAACTTCATAAGAAACTCCCCCCTCTACGTAAGCAAGATAAATAACTGGATTTAAGTCCCTTTGAAAAGTCTTCACAGCTATTACTTTTTGTAAAGCTGAAATGAATTAACGCTGAACTTTTGCTTGATATTTTCAATCAGTTGATATTATTTGTAAGTGAGTTGCAATTCCGACTCATCAATGATAACATTAAAACACGCAGATCCGACAACCCCTTTCGCTGTCATAAAAGCTCAACCTGCATCCTTTAGTAAGACCGAAAAAACGAGACATCCAAAAATAACACTCTTTGAACAATATTTGATATCAAATCGAACAATCATTAAGACGAGATGAATAGTTTTAGAAGCTTTCGATCAGTCATAGGAGTTATCTATAGTATTGTTCGATATCGATTGATTTAAATATAAGATATCGAGGCATGAGTATTTTCAATTTATAATTCTATTTGAGTGCTTTGGAGCCCGTTTGACGACCATCTTACACGAAATCCTAATCTGTCTGTGAGCTCACGAAT